TAGCTTTTTCTAAATATTCAGACTAGGTCTGATGTTCTTATTTTTATTTTTTCTGCAGAAGTGAAATTTATTCCAAAATGATGCAGAAGCTGTCATTATCACTTTCTTTCCTAAAATTACCAGTGCAGATAATCATTTTTATAAAATGCAAAAAGGGATGATCTCAGTTTGCCAAGAGGTTAAAAATGACCTCCTTGGTCAGAGTAATGAGAATCAGGTAGTCAGTCTCATTTTTCTATAGATAGTAGATTGTCTGAAAAACATTATGAGAGAAAGTGGCTTACTAAATCTGCCATTATAAAGTTACAGGACAGTTAAATATTATTCTGAGAGAACTTTCGTAGAGGGATTATTAGTCAAAACCCTTATAATTATTATCCATTCTTGCACTTAACTTTGAGAGGCAAAGTCTTTGAGCAAATGTGGGATAATCTTTCTAGAGATTTTTCATTGAAGCTACCATATTTTCTATTTTGTCTTCATCATTAAAAGTTCAGTTGTCAGATTCAGTTGTCATTAGATTTTTGGTCCAGATAGTGCAGGAGTGTCAAGCTCATGTCGTCATCATGGTGTCACATGACGTATTGGGACTTTTCCCCCTTTGCTAAACCGGGCGTGGGTGTTGCCAGCGAGTGATGCATCCGGCCCACGGGCTGGGAGTTTGAAAGCCCTGAAATAATGGAACAGGAGAAGTGAACTAGATTCTTTTCAATCTCCTTAACTCTCTCTAAACCTTGATGTCTAAAGAATGGATAGTGTTACGTAGTGGCTCTGGCCCTTCCCAGAAGGTGGTGCTGGAGACCTATTATTTTTTTCAATGTTTTGTTTCATAAGATGCTCTAAGAATTATCTACTATGAAATTTAATGTATGTGAAACTGCTGAGAGAGATCATTTAGAGACCTGGCCAGGTATTATTGGTGTACTGATACCAGTTTGTATCATTTTTTTCTAATACCTGATACTGGGAAGACAATGGAAGTTCAGAAAGGATAACTTGGAGTTTTATATTTCATAGACTTAAATAAACTGACATTTAACCCAAAGAAAAAGAATAGAATCATAAAGGGGGGGGGAGCCATTTAAGCTAGTAAGTCCACCCCTCTATCATTATTAGGAGGGGGTGTTTTAATATTTAATACTCTCCATCCTACTATATAGGATAGAAAACAAGTCTTATTGTAATATTTCAGCTATCATATCTCCATCAATCTTTTGTTTTCAAGCTTTCATCTCAGTTCCTTCAGTCTTTCTTTATAAGTGACAGTGATTAGAATACAGTATTGCAGACTGACTCTGCCCACACTTTGGAGTTCAATCCTGATGGGGCTCAAGGTTGACACAGCCTTCCATCCTTCCAGGATCAGTAAAATGAGGACGCAACTTGTTTCGGGCAATATGCTGACATTGTAAACCATCCAGAGAGTGCTGTAAAGCACTATGGAGAGGTATATAAGTCTAAGTGCTTTTGCTATTGCTGTAATATCCAATTGTCCTTGTTACCCTACTCTGAACCTGTTGTAGTTTGAAACTTCCTCAAAATGTGCCTGTAGCTGTGTATTATTCAAGGTACAAAATGCAGAATAATGTAGAACCAATGATAATAGCAATTGTCTTGAAAGGAATATTGACCAGTTTTAAATAGAATTAAATAGAATTATATTCCATCTAAAACAGTAGATTAGCAATGGAGAATTAGGAGCCTTTGGAACCTATTTGAATGTACAAAGTAAAATTTACCATACAATATAATCACTGTATGAAATCTACTAAATAAGCTAGAATATGAATATATTCCCGTGTAAGATTGACAGTATCTTGGTGACGTTTCGACGAGGTCACACTTGTCATCTTCAGGCTGGTGCCTTTGGCTTCGTCCTTGTGTGAGCAAAGTCGAAATGTTGCCAAGATACTGTTAATCTTACATGGGAAAAGACCCGAATACAACAAGACCAGCCTGTAGCTTTAAGGTGCTGGAAAAGGGAGGAAGTTTTTTATTTTTTTCTGACTGCGCTCTTGTGTTCTGTGATGCGTGCATTTATTCTCCTGTTCGTTTGTCCTATGTATGCTGCAGGGCATATTTTGCATGGTATTTCGTAGACTCCTTGGTTTT